CATGTTGAAAAACAGCCACATCTTGAAAATGACATCGATGTACAGCACACTGACAAACTGGGCCAGCATCAGTTTTGATGACATTCAACGGAGAGGTTCTCGGCGGGAGTCAGTCACAACGACGAGTTCCATAAGCGCAGCGTCTTGTGATTTTCTTACCACGACCTTTTTTTTTTTTTTCCCGTCTGTTTCGGTGTTGGATTGGTAATTATGTACATATTGATTCATTCAATGGATTGGCCGCATTGTTTTCTTCATTTGAATTGCATTCTCGTCCCCCCTTTGCTGTTGAGCGGCTCCCCCCCCCCGTGGCCCTTCAAGATGATTAATTCACAGCGCCAAGTGTGTTAGTGTGCGTCCGGCCACAGTATGATTGGGGTGGCAACGCTAGCAAGCCTTTACGTCTCACAGTTTGCGTTGTTTTGACCCCCCACCGCCCTCAAAATGTAAAAGTAAACTTTCGATGAGGTCGGGGCTCTTTCCACTTAAATGGCAAACTTGAATGGCCAGTCTCCCGGAACAAACGATTTCACTTGATTTCCGATGTGAAAATTGGTTTCGGGAGTACAGCAACTTAAAAAAAAAATCATCCGGCATCACTGAGCAGATTGTGCTTGACTATAAGTCTTAGGTAAGAGTATCCAATTTTTCATCGACTGTTATGCAGTGGTCAGAGTCTTAGTCCAGGTCTTGCGTTGATTGAGGAACTGCCTAGAAATTGACCTTCCATATTTTTGGGAGTTGGGTAAACAAGACCATCCAGAGAAAATCTCAAAGTTGAGTGTTCAGAGTGGTCAAAGATAGAAAAAAGAAAATAAAACAGGGATCTTTTTTTTCGGAGACAGCTCATCACCCTTCCACCAGTGTTCCACTGTCGTCAATTTTAAATCGCCATGCCATGAATCTCAATGAGGAAAATCTTTCAATCGTAATCCTGACAACAAAAGTATGCAATAATTCCTCCAGTCGAATTATTTCTCAAGAAATCTGAAATATTTTCAGACCAGAGTTGTTCCTTGCTGTTTTTTAGGACACGTGCATCTACTTTTTTGAAAAAATGTTTTTGGAAGATCATAAGGACCACATGTAGGTCGACAAACGTGACGGAGTTATCTGAGAAACTTACCTCACTTGATGAAAGCTTCTCGACTCTCACCATTTCGCATGATCTTCTTTCTCGCCGAGAGCTCGGCGGGTGGGGGGGGGGGGAGGGTTTCCTCTCTCGCTT